ATCCAATGTATCATTCAGGTCCCTTGTTTCTTTATTGACCGTGTGTCTAGATGATCTATCCATTTCTGTAAGTGGAGTGTTAAAGTCCCCTGCAATTACCACATTCTTATCAATAAGGTTGCTTATGTTTGTGAGTAATTGTTTTATGTATTTGGGGGCTCCCATGTTCGGCGCATAGACATTTATAATTGTTAGTTCTTCCTGATGGATAGACCTTGTAATTATTATATAATGCCCTTCTTCATCTCTTGTTACAGCCTTTAATTTAAAGTCTAGTTTGTCTGATATAAGTATGGCTACTCCAGCTTTCTTTTGACTTCCAGTGGCATGATAAATAGTTCTCCATCGCCTCACTCTCAATCTGAAGGTGTCCTCAGGTCTAAAATGAGTCTCTTGTAGACAGCAAATAGATAGGTCTTGTTTTTTTTTATCCATTCTGATACCCTATGTCTTTTGGTTGGAGCATTTAGTCCATTTATGTTCAGTGTTATTATAGAAAAATATGGGTTTAGAGTCATTGTGATGTCTGTAGGTTTCATGCTTGTAGCAATGTCTCTGGTACTTTGTCTCACAGGATCCCCCTTAGGATCTCTTGTAGGGCTGGTTTAGTGGTGACGAATTCCTTCAGTTTTTGTTTGTTTGGGAAGACCTTTATCTCTCCTTCTATTCTAAATGACAGACTTGCTGGATAAAGGATTCTCGGCTGCATATTTTTTCTGTTCATCACATGGAAGATCTCCTGCCATTCCTTTCTGGCCTGCCAAGTTTCAGTAGAGAGATGGGTCACGAGTCTTATCGGTCTCCCTTTATATGTTAGAGCACGTTTATCCCTAGCTGCTTTCAGAATTTTCTCTTTATCCTTGTATTTTGCCAGTTTCACTGTGATATGTCGTGCAGAAGATCGATTCAAGTTACGTCTGAAGGGAGTTCTCTGTGCCTCTTGGATTTCAATGCCTTTTTCCTTCCCCAGATCAGGGAAGTTCTCAGCTATTATTTCTTCAAGTACACCTTCAGCACCTTTCCCTCTCTCTTCCTCCTCTGGGATACCAATTATGCGTAGATTATTTCTCTTTAGTGCATCACTTAGTTCTCTAATTTTCCCCTCATACTCCTGGATTTTTTTATCTCTCTTTTTCTCAGCGTCCTCTTGTTCCATAATTTTATCTTCTAGTTCACCTATTCTCTCCTCTGCCTCTTCAATTCGAGCCGTGGTCGTTTCCATTTTATTTTGCAGCTCGGTTATAGCATTTTTTAGCTCCTCCTGACTGTCCCTTAGTCCCTTGGTCTCTGTAGCAATAGATTCTCTGCTGTCCTCTATACTGTTTTCAAGCCCAGCGATTAATTTTATGACTATTATTCTAAATGGACTTTCTGTTATATTGTTTAAATCCTTTTTGATCAGTTTGTTAGCTGTCATTATTTCCTGGAGATTCTTTTGAGGGGAATTCTTCCGTTTCGTCATTTTGGATAGTCCCTGGAGTGGTGCCCAACTGAGGGGCACTCCCCCTGTGCTGTCTTGAATACCTTGCACTGCCAGCCTTGTGGTGCTGGGGATCTGGCGTATTAGCTGGGGTGGATAGGCAAGGTGCACAGGGGTGGGAGGGGCAGGTTCAGCTCGCTTCTCTTTCGGTGATCTGCTTCAGGAGGGAGTCAGCTTCGGGAGGGAGTCAGACCCGCCGCTGGAGGGATGGATCCGCAGAAGCACAGCGTTCGTTGTTTGCATCATGCAAGCCAGTTCCCTGGCAGGAACCGGTTCCCTTTGGGATTTTGGCTGGGGCATGGGCGAGGGAGATGGCGATGGTGAGCGCCTTTGTTCCCCGCCAAGCTGAGCTCTGTCGTCCATGGCTCCACAACTCTCCCTCCCGTTGTCCTCCAGCTCTCTCGTTCTCCGAGCAGAGCTGTTAGCTTATAACCTTCCAGATGTCAAGTCCCGCTGGTTGTCGGAACACACTCTGTTGGCCCCTCCGCTTTTGCCAGCCAGACTCGGGGGCTCTGCTTGTCCGGCCGGCCGCCCCTCCGCCCCGGCTCCCTCCCGCCGGTCCGTGGAGCGCGCACCGCCTCGCCGCCCTTCCTACCCTCTTCCGTGGGCCTCTCGTCTGCGCTTGGCTCCTGAGACTCCGTTCTGCTGGTGTTCTGGGAATTTTCTGGGTTATTTAGGCAGGTGTGGGTGGAATCGAAGTGATCAGCAGGATGCGGTGAGCCCAGCGTCCTCCTACGCCGCCATCTTCCCGAAAGCCCCCCTTCATTCTCTGTTAAACTTGCTCTTGCCCCAAATCCCTCGGGAAGAGTGCTCCAGGGCCTGTGAGGTACTAAATGGCCCCCAGTCCATGTATTGTTTTCCCTTGAATAAAGGACATCAAGTTTATTTTGAAATTGTTGTAGTTTCGTCATTCGTATCTCTCACCTTCCTTAGATTACCACATCATTGGATGACTGGCTGCAGAGGCCAGTGTCCAGGTGTGACCCATTCTTTGTTATCACTCCTCCTACGCTCATGAATTTCTAACGGTACTGGGTTGCTTCTAGAAAAGATGGTGGGAGGAGGGAAGACGAAGAGTCTTGTGTTCTCACAAAAGGCTGAGTGTATTTGTGAATAGTGAGGAAAGGAAGGTGTGGGTGGGGAAAGGGTGGTGTAGACTGGAAGTCCAATGTAGTTCACAGGAACATAGCAACTTGCAACCCACAGCAGGGTTCTGACACGCTCATTAGGAAGCCCTTATCCATGTGTGCTTACCCGCGGGGGATTTGTTATGTACTTGAAATAACAAATACTTGGGAGTCTAGACCTCCTAGTCAGCTAGTCCTCTTGTTCAACCATAGACCCCAACAGTTAAAACCAGGAATAGACAAGACCCCTTAACTTGTGCCCTGCCTGAAACCCATTCTTATTTCTGAGGCATTGACGATGTTTTGCAATGACCAGAACGTTCCACCTGCCAGGCCAGAAAAGTCCTGGTAGTGGTGGGAGGATGCCCAGAAGACCATACCCCACAGGTCCCCTTCCCTGCCCATGGTCGTGTGCTGAGTATCTACTGACTCCCGGCCATGATCACGTGCTCTCTGCCTGCTCTCTTGCATGTCCCCCTGAACCTCTCCCTATAAAACTCCTGGTGTCCATCTTGCCAGCAGAGAGGTCAGTTGTTAAGGCTTGAGCCTGCCACCTCCCCCAAAGTAAATCTCTCCCGTTCTCTTTTCCAGACCCTCTTCTCTTGGGTTATTGGCTCCTCTTACAATGAGTTTATCTGACTTTGTTCTGCAGTGGTGCTTTCCATTTGTCCAGCCCCCTCGGGATTCCCGGTGGGGGAACAGTTGGCTGACGCATCACACCAGGGCTCACCCGTTCGTTTCCTGAGTTAGTGATAACCGGTAACACTAGAACTGGTTTTTCAGTCTTGGGCAAGTCAGTGAACTTTCCTGAGCTTCAATTTCATCATTTTTAAAGCAGAGATAATAATATTGCCTGGGTTGTTATGAAGATCACACTGAAGAAAGTGCCAGACAAAGATAAAGTTTCAATGTTCGTTGACTCTAAGACAGCAGCGATTATAAGATGCATCATTTTTTAAAATAACACTAAGGAAGAAGAAGCTCCTGTCTGTTACACACAGCACAGCAGCTTCTTGTCATTTAGAAAATTTCTGCACATTGAAATAGATTTATTTAGGCAGATTGTTTTGTATCATAAATCATTCTTGCGCATTTATAAAAAGGAACTGTAAGCGAGTAGAAATTAAGGCATTCTTAACTTTCCTCACCATCTTGACCCACTTCTGCGGTATCACTTGTCAAGCTAGTTAGTGCCAAATTTCCCCCATACAGTATTGCCTGTGTACCATCATGAGCGTTTGGGGATGCAATATTTCTTTTTTTGTTTTTAATTTTTTTAATGTTTATTTATTTTGGAGAGAGAGAGACAGAGTGCGAGTGGGAGAGGGACAGAGAGAGAGGGAGACACAGAATCCGAAGCAGGCTCCAGGCTCTGAGCTGTCAGCACAGAGCCTGATGGGGGCTTGAACTCCCGGACCTCAAGATCATGACTTGAGCCGAAGTTGGACGCTTAGCCGACTGAGCCACCCAGGCACCCCAGGGATGCAATATTTCTTAAAAGAATGCTTCATATTATCTTTCTTCCAAGCTCTTGAGGCCAGTTCTGCATTATCAACACACACACACACAAGCAGTGGCATCTGTCTCCTGTCCAGTGCTTGGCTATCTTAAGACATCTTGATTTCAGGGATGGTACACGTATGGAAATGCTTACCTGTTAGAACTGATGAAATATAGTAGTATGATTTCATATTATTTCATAGGTTTGGGCTTGTAAGGGGAGAAAGTGTTTTGGAGGAAGAATCCTCTGTCCTTTAAGGTCCTTCTAGCTAGACCAAGAATCAAATTGACATGAGACAGAGTAACAGGAAGAAGTCAAACTGAATAGTGTATGTACATGTGGGGAATCCACACAGAAGTGGAAATTCCAAAGACAGTCAGGCAATAATATTCAGCTTATATGAGCTGAGGGGAGGAGGGTGGGGGTCTGAGGATACCACGGGGAGCAAGACCATTAGCAGGAGGGTGAAGGAAGGTGTTTGGAAAACACAGGTGCCCTGTTACATAGAGAAGTTTCTTAGGCAAAGAGGAATCTTTGTTAATAGCTCTCGTCCTGGTACAAGCAGGCATTTGAGGGGAGATAAAGAGCTTTTCCGGGATCTGCTGGGTTTGGATTGCTTTTAACTCAAAATAATGTTCATGGCACAGTGGCCCATTTGGGGGCTGCCTGCCGTTGGCCCCTATCAGAGCATGAAACCCTCTGCCTCTTCTTAGGAACTGTTCTTGCTGTTTGAACAGAATTGGGGTGGATCGTTTGCCTGGATAGGGCCCTATGGTGTTAACAGGGCAGGCTTCCCACTGACATGAATAAACGATAGAAGTAATTTTGTATGTTTCCTCATCTGCCTATTCTTTTTCTTCCTTCTTGTCTGCTTTCTGATTTTCCTTTGAGGTTCCTGAGGCCGAATCTGGTTCCTAGGAAACATCAAAGGGAGCCTGCACCAGAGGCCTCTCAGGATGTGCCCGGAAGCCTGCGTCCATCCACTGTGTGGGACAGAATGACACCCCCCATGAGTGTGCTGTCTCCGTTGCTGTTTCTGGTGACCGTCGCAGGTAGGAAGCCATTCCCTTGGAGCCGCTAGCATCACACAGGAGCTTCCTGTCTTTGGCTTAAACAACTCAGATCAGCACGGAATGCAGGGGCTCTGTGTTTGCTTTGCAACAGAATCATTTGGCCAAAAGCAGGAAGGCAGCCCTCACGCACGCGTGGTTTTCTGGAAACAGGAATTTAAATAGTTTTTTATTGTCATGACTATTTTTGAAAAAATAAAGTTCCATTTCATGTACACTAGGAAAACTTTATATATTTATTTAAAATAATCACAATAGGTGATGTTTTTGGAGAGCAAATGACCACACTCTCTTTTATCCTAAATCTTTATTTTCATATATTCTGCTTGCCTACTGTGGACTCACTCATGATATGAAGTCACTGTTGAGCAGCAATTATTCTGTTAACCCACATGCTGGCTAGGCCAGCTAGGGCCCCTTTGAATTTACCAAGGACTGAGGGCAGAGCTATGGCCAGGGAAACCGATTTTATGTCCGGAGTTTATCAAAGTGTGGTGAAGCCATAATAAGGCTTACCTGGGTTAAAAAAAAGTAATTTTTTTTTTCAATTGAGTAAATGTAAAGATCTAATTAGCCTTGTGCGAGGCTTCACGAATTGGGCAGAAGGCTTCTAGCAGACCGAAGGGAGCTCTAAGGGGCTGTACAGAATGGAAGGACTTTATAGGCAGAAGGAGGTGAGATCACCTTCCCTTGGGGGAAGTCAGGGAATCTTATCATGCAGATGACCTCACTAGTGGGATCAGGACGTTCCAGACCGATTGGTTTAAAATTACACTCAATGGAAGAGGCTGAATCTGCAGTTAAATTAGGTAGTTAGTCTCAGTGGGTCTTAACATAAGTGACTCCATTTGGGGCCTGTTTCTTTTCAACACCAAGAGTGACCCTTGTTAAAATACATCTTTGGGGCACCTGTTAGGCTCAGTTGGTTAATGATTTTGGCCGAATCATTGATTTCGGCTCAGGTCACCATCTCATGGTTTGTGGGATTGAGCCCCGTGGGCTCTGTGCTGACAGGGCAGGGCCTGCTTGGGATGCTCTGTCTCCTTCTCTATCTCTTTCCTTCCCCCTCTTGCATGCACTCTCAAGATAAATAAACTTAAATAAAAAAAAAATGTTTTATCTGCATCCAGACCTATTGAACTAGAATGCCTAGAGGGTGTGGCTCAAGGGTTTGAAGCAGCTTGCTTGCTTGCTTATTTAAAAGTTTATTTATTTTGAGAGAGAAAGAGCACAAGCAGGAGAGGGAGAGAGAGAGAGAGAGAGAGAGAGAGAGAGAGAGAGAGAGAATCCCAAGCAGGCTCTGCACTGTCAGCACAGAGCTTGACATGAGGCTCAAACTCACGAGCCCTGAGATCATGATCTGAGCTGAAGTTGGACGCTTACCAGACTGAGCCACCGAGGTGCCCCATGAAGCAGCTGACTTATTACGAGCACTGTTGTAGAGTATGTAGGGGCTACTGCAGGAAGTGCTACCACTGGAAGAGCCCTGTCATTCCTCATAGATTACTAATGTTTAGGCACTCTTTTTTTTTTCTCACAAATACCCACTTTTGCATTCCTCTTTGTCTTTTTCTTGTGATCCTTCCATTAATTTAAAATTCCTGCGTTCCTGAGCCCCCATAATGTTATTTGCGGTTTGCCTGTCTGCCCTCTCTATCCTCTGTACCTTTGACAAAATGCTGATGATGATTTCATTGATTTGTCAACCATCATGGGGTTCCTACTTCCGTCACAGATCGGGCTGGGACTGTGGAGAACATAGGAACATGGGAGGGTGTTCTCTGGTCTCTTCGCGAGCTGTGTTGAGTGAGTCTTCTAGAGTCTGAAGTAATTATGGCAGCTTGGCCTCACGGAAGAATGGTTAGTTGCTGGAAACCTTTTCAAACTTCTTTATTTAGCATTAAGATCTCTGCAGAAGGTATGTCTGTCTATACAGACCATTCAGGTGGTTTTTGCAGAGCAAACAGGTGATCTACCTGAGGAGTGTATGGAAGTCTGTACCTGATTGAAAACTGCTTTAAGCTTTGTCAAGGCTTCTGCCTTGGAAAGTTCTTCTCAGACACTTGCTCCAGGATTACAGCCTTCTTTCTGTACAGTGGTTTCCTTGACACAGTTTTACAAGTTGGCATTTGAGCTACCTGGTGGCCCACGCCAGAAAGGAAACATGGCAGCTTCTAGGGATCACTCTGTTCAAAAGATGACCTAACAGTTTTTCAAGGGAAATAAAGTCTATCCTACCATATGTGTCTGAAAGAAATTTCTAGACTGGGTCTTCATTTAAAGGCCATTCAGGGACATAGTGGTATCTTTACAAATAAAGGCAATATTTTTCAGAGTAGATGTGGGAGTCCAAGATTATCTGTCTGTTCTACACCCTTCATCATCTCTTGATTTTAATTAGAGATGCTAGTTTTTGTTTTATGTTCAACTGGAGGTTTTTTCCCTCTCTATATCTGAGGTGAAGCTTTTTTTTAGAAAATAAAAGGCTAAAACTACTAAGGTAATTTTTAAAAAGTAGATTTACATTGGAGAAAATGTCATTTCAGTTGAATTAGTTTGGTGCTAGCTTACTCATGGGGAAAGATGCATATCTATTATACCTAATTCCTATTAAATTGGACCAATTAGACTTTCCTCTAGAGTCACTGAACAATTTTTTTAATGTTTATTTACTTAGAGAGAGTGCATGCGTGCGAGTGCAGAGGAAAGGGGCACAGGGAGAGAGAGAGAATCCCAGGCAGGCTCCATGCTCTGCACAGAGCCCAACGTGAGGCTCCCATCTCACAACTGTGAGATCATGACCTGAGCTGAAATCAAGAGTTGGGTGCCTAACCGACTAAGCCACCCAGGTGCCCCGGCATTGAATGATTCATTCATTCATTCATTCATTCATTCATTCATTCATTTTTTAATGTTTATCTTGAGAGAGAGAGCATGAGCAGGGGAGGAGCAGAGAGAGAGGGAGACACAGAATCCGAAGCAGGCTCCAGGCTGAGCTGTCAGCATAGAGCCCGACATGGGGCTCAAACCCACCAACCCCCAAGTCAGGACCTGAGCCGAAGTCAGACATGTAACCAACAGAGCCGCCCTAGGCGCCCCGAACAATTGTCAAAAACTTGATGATGTGTGTACAGGTAAAAGTAGAGATGACTCAGGGGCGCCTGGGTGGCGCAGTCGGTTAAGCGTCCGACTTCAGCCAGGTCACGATCTCGCGGTCCGTGAGTTCGAGCCCCGCGTCGGGCTCTGGGCTGATGGCTCGGAGCCTGGAGCCTGTTTCCGATTCTGTGTCTCCCTCTCTCTCTGCCCCTCCCCCGTTCATGCTCTGTCTCTCTCTGTCCCAAAAATAAATAAACGTTGAAAAAAAAATTAAAAAAAATAAAATAAAAAAAGTAGAGATGACTCTTACACTGTATTTAACCATTTCTCTTACCTCCAGTTAGAAGTACTATCACCATGAGGAAAGTAACAGTTTCCCGACAGAGCCCTCACTAGGAAAGAGATCTCTATCAATACATAAAAAGAATAAAAAAGTGACTTTGCCCTTGGATTTCAGGGAATGACAAACTGCTGCCGAAGGTTCTGAAAGTGTCAGTTTCTGTCATTTTCTCGTGGATGGGTCACCACACTTGTGGCCCTACACGACCGTGTCTGCAGGCCACACGGGGGGGTGGCACGGCGCTGATACCGGTCGTCTTTGCCGACTGAAAGCATTTGTAGCTCATTATTTAGAGTCTGATTGAAGCTCGTTGTTACATACCCGATGTATTGAGGACAAGTTTTTCTCTCCTTTGAGATTTCCCTGTCAATTGATCAATCATCAGGATCACCTGTGAGACAAAAAATAAAATCAGTTTAGGGACAGCTGGGTGGATCAGTCCATCGAGGGTCCGACTCTTGATTTCGGCTCAGGTCATGATCTCACGGTTTATGAGTCCAAGCCCCACATCAGGCTGTGTGCCGACTGCATGGAGCCTGCTTGGGATTCTGGCTGCCTCTTTCTGCCCCTCCCCTGCTTCTCTCACGTGTGCATGCTCTCCCTCCCTCTCTCTCTTTCTCAAAAATAAATAAAATAAACTTTAAATAAATTAAAAAAAAAAAGAGCTAGTTGTTACAGACCTAGACTGAGGACAGGTTTTTCTCTCCTTTGAGACTTCCCTGGCAAGTGATCTATCATCAGAATCACCTGTGAGACTAAAAAAATCAATTTAACAACAGGAATATGGTGCTGTTCCTTAGGTAAACCTTTAATACCTGAATTTTGGGTGAGGAGCACGGCGCCACAAATAGTGTAAAAGCCATACCCAGCTGGGAAAGAATGCTTAGTAATTTCACGTAGTGAAATGACACGAGGAGGGCCTGGAAGGTACGACGGGCGAGGGGGGAGATTCCGGGGCGGGGCGGCCGGCGGGGGCACGGCTGGGCTGTCGGCTGAAGGGGGTGCTTTCTGTAGGGGATGCTGGCTGCCGCCATATTCCTCACTGGAGACCTCTGTTTGCAGGTGGGGCCCGCGGCCAGTGCGCTGACGGGAGGAAGCACGCCAACGCTGTCCTTCGCCCGACGTGGAAACTACTAGAATCCTGCGGGGGACCGCACGGGCGCTTGCTGTCGCCGGCCCGCCTGTGACCTGGCCTGGTGGGCGGGGGTGCCGGGGGGGGGGTGCCGCTGCTACCTGGTGAGCTGCCCACCCTCGCTCGGAGAGCTGTGAGCCCCGCAGGGCGGGCCCCGTCGGGTCCCCGCTCACCTTTGTCCGGAGGCCCGGGTGGCGGCTGCACGGCGGGGAGACGCTGCTGACCGGGGACGCGGCGTTGGGACTCTGGGGGGAGGGACCCCCCCCGAAGATCTCAGAAAGGACCCCCCTTCCTGGGCAGAGAGCAGGACACGATGACTACGGGGAGCCCGGGCCTGACCCCCTTTGTGTCCCCCAGGAGGCAGGAGCCCCTGGGGGGGGGCGCCCAGGCGGGCCTCGACTCCTCCTCGGCTGGGGGCCCGCCGCTGAGGGAGCCCACAGGGACCCCGGCCCCCAGACACTCTTCCCGGAGCAGGCTGTTTCCCGCCTTCGTGAGGACTCCACCTGCAGGAGAGGAGTTGGGAAAGGAGACTTCTCCCACCCAGGAACCACCCAGCAAGAGCTCTGGAGACCAGGTGGGCGGGGGTGCTTGGGGGAGGGGGTCGTTGAGGGACGGGGTGCTGAGGTCGTCAGGCGCCACTACAGGCTGTACCGTCACAAGTAGGTGCCTCCTGGGCGCCTGGGTGGCTCAGTGGATTAAGCATCCGACTTGGACTCAGGTCATGATCTCACGGTTTGTGATCTCACTCTTTGCTGGCAGCCTGGAGCCTGCTTCTGACTCAGTGTTTCTTCCCCGCCCCCAGTCACACGCTGTCTCTCTCTCTCAAAAAATAGAAAAAAAAAAAGACAAGACAAAAAGGTGCCTCCTAAGGGCACCCGCCTCCAGCAGCAGCAAGGGAGGTGGCTCCCAGCGCCTTCCCGGTTAACAAAACATCCCCTTCCTCTGCTGTCCTGTCAGGACCAGACACCTATAAGAATAGATGGTGTTTCTGCCTTCACCAGTCAGCCACCTAATGATGACTTTAGTGCTTCTCCCTCTGGGTGCCTCTGCCAGTGTCTAAGGGGAACGATGATTTAGCAGACGTCCCTGGAGCCGGCCCACATGCACAGCCCGTGGTTACCACAGATGGAGTCACCTGGGCTAGGCCCACTTTGCCAAACTGGGACCTAGTATCTAACCCAGTTGCAGTTCACCCTTCCCCAGGACTGATCTTAAGAGGTCATTCTGGAATTTCCCCGTCTGCACCAGTGAGGTCATCCATTGAGACCCTTTTGTTCCCCAAAGGGAGGCCATCTTGCCTGAAATAGTCCTGTTTTTGTTCTTTATAATTTCTTTGTCCTGCATTTAAAACCTTTTTTTCTGTAGCCCTTTGGAGCTCCTTTCTATTGCCGGAGAGGGTGCTGCCCGATGCATGAATCGTTCGATAAGGTCAGTTAGATCTCAGAAACTTCCTCAGTTGAATTGTCGTAATTTAGCAGATTTGGCCCAGGAATGGAGGGCTCTGAACTGCACTTCTGAAGGCGTTCAGGGACGACGAGAAACACAGGCGTGGCACCCGTGAACCCCTTTCTGAGTTGTCTTTCTTGCCTGTCCCAAGGGCCCTGCGTAAGTTCCTCCCGGTTCTGGGCTCTGTCCTCCTTGCCCTGAGCTCCCGATCTCACTGGCTTTCCAAAGTTCCCCGTTTGTCTGAAATCACTCGCTCCACATGGGGGAACTGCCAGCAGTGTGGACACAATCCCCCAGGCGACTGGAAACCCCGGTCCTCGGCTCTGTCCCCACAGTCCACGTCGGGCCCTGCCGCTGGCAGCTGGAGCCCCCGTTTGTTGGGGTCCTGCTGAGTCAACCCCTTCCCCGGCCCAGACTCCACGCTGGGAAACGTTGCAGGTGCGCACAGGACTTCTCTCGGCCAGGACACGGTAACAGCACTCGGGGACTGCACGGTCGTTATTCGGGGGCACAGGCTTGCTTGTCGTGTCAGATGAAGGCTGGCGGAAAGACAAGGGCTCTCTGCATTCTGAAGAGTTAGGCACGTGACCTCTGGCGCACCTGCTTATTTGCGTCTAAAGGATGGCAGTCCCGGGAGCTAAAGCCATCTCTACAAACGGCAACATCTTACTAAAACCACCTAGAATCGCAGTGGCTGTTACGAGGAACGTTCCAGTTAGAGAAGATCACTTAAAAAGTGCCCTTGGCAGCAAGGATTCCCAAATGAAGCAAACAGGCTGGGATACGTTTTTTAATCGGCAGGCAGAAGCCTCCACAAAGCTTCAAAGTTCCCAAATAGCTTCATTCAAAGATTCACTGTGAAAGCTTATTACAAAATTAAGTAATTTTTACTGCTTCCCTCTACCCTCCTTTAAATCCTCTTTCTAGTAGTCTTACGTCTGCATTGCCTTTACAGGATTGTAAACAAAAGTCAGCCAAGTTAGTGACCTTACAGACACCTTGATATCACCTGTTAAAGGAGGGCCCCATAGGGGACACCCTCCCAGAGTTGACAAAACTCTTACATTCTGGTAAAGTGCTACCTTATTCCCTTAAATGACCAAGGGAAATTAAAAATTAGTGACAAATCTTGCCAAATTGTGCTAAGTGCCACATCTACAGATGGGACCCTGGAAAACTGGACAAACCAGCTAAGGGTGAAGATCCTTCCCAGAGTCAGCTCTCCTGGATCTCTGAGTGTAGTGCCTGGTGGAGAAAGAGAATAAACTTCACAGTGTCCCTTTCTTTCTAAATCCAGGCCATTGGGCATTGATCTTTGGGAGTGACTCTAGAGTTTTTGAAGATAGTGTTTTTTTTTTACACCCTCTGAGGCCCGTGGGGTTGTTTAGTATTGCCAGAAATATTTACTGATATTTGAAAGGATTTAATGACTCTGTGATTAGAAAGTTGGCCAGATTGGAGGGGCATCTGGGTGACTCAGTTGGTTAAGTATCCAACTCTTAATTTCAGCTCAGGTCATGATCTCGAGGTCCTAGGATCAAGCCCTTTGTTGGGCTCCATGCTGAGCTTGGAGCCTGCGCTGGATTCTCTCTGTCTCCCTCTCTCTGTGCCCCTTCCCCACCTGTTTGAGAGCAGGAGCTCTCTCTTGCTGTCTCAAAATAAATAAGCATTAAAAAAATTTTTGGGGGGCCAGATTGGAAACTGATATTCAGAGCCTGATAGATATTTTTTTTAGGTCTTTTCCTTAAGCTAAATGTAGACAAAGGGAAAGAAAACATTCTGAAGCCTTTGTGGAAAATCGACTAGAAACATTCCAAAGGCAGACAACTCTTAAATCTAGAACATAGGGACACCTGGGTGGCTCAGTCGATTAAGCTTCCAACTTTGGCTCAGGTCATGATCTCATGGTTCATGAGTTCAAGCCCCACATCCCGGGCTCTGTGCTTTCAGCTCAGAGCCTAGAGCCTGCTTTGGATTCTGTGTCTCCCTCTCTCTCTCTCTCCCCTGCCCATGTTTGCACTCTGTCTCTCTCTGTCTCTCTCTGTCTTTCAAAAATAAATGCTAAGAAAAAAAAATTTTAAAAAAAATCTAGAACATAGAAATCTTTTGATTCCCAGTTGGAAATCTCCCTGATACAAAAAGCAAACTAAGGATAACGTGGTTGGATGGGTGGTTCAAGCTGCAATGGCTTTCATTTAGGCTGCGAGGAGACCCAAGTCTTTGAGGAAGAGGGAACCATTCGCCTTATCTCACAGATCTTTGCAAATCCAGACACACAGCCCAGACACAATTCATAGGCAACCTCTCCTTTTTACCAATCCCAAATCCTCCCGTATTTATCTCAAAAGGCTTGTAAGTATTGTCCTTAGGTACCCATGTTCCTCTTGGAGGAACTTAGATTCTTTCCCTGTGCCTGTGAGATATAAAGGTGAACTCTTGATCATCTCTCTCTCTCTCTTTTAAATTTTATTTTAGAAAGAGAGAGAGAGAGTGTGTTTGTGCGAGCAGGGGAGGGGCAGACAGAGAGAGAGACAGAGAATATCAAGTAGGCTCCGTGTCAGTGTGGAGCCTGGCTCAGGGCTTGATCCCACGACCCTGGGATCATGAAATCAAACTTCAGAGAGGTAATTTTTACCTGAAGGAAGCAAAAGAGGGGAGGGAGAGACTTTAAAAAGAAAGACTTCTCCATGGCTTCCATAGGTTACTTGTCAAAGAAAAATACAAATCTTAAGTGTCTTCTCCACAAATATTAGTCGAAAAATTTTACCATTAGAGCAGGGTAACCGTAATTTATTCTAACTGTTCTTTCATAACTGGTAAGTTTTGTATTGTTGTACCTGATTCATGGAAGTAAATTCAAAATGAAGCTATAAAGTCTTTGTTTATGTCTGCCTGTATGGTTTTGTTGTTTGTTGCTTTTTGTGTTTTTTATTTTTATTTTTATTTTTATTTTTTTTCAACGTTTATTTATTTTTGGGACAGAGAGAGACAGAGCATGAACGGGGGAGGGGCAGAGAGAGAGGGAGACACAGAATTGGAAACAGGCTCCAGGCTCCGAGCCATCAGCCCAGAGCCTGACACGGGGCTCGAACTCACGGACCGCGAGATTGTGACCTGGCTGAAGTCGGACGCTTAACCGACTGCGCCACCCAGGCGCCCCAAAGATGCTTTTTGTGTTTTTTAAATGTATATTTATTTTGAGAGAGAGAGTGCGTGAGTGCATGTGCAAGCAGAGGGGCAGAGAGAGAGAGAGAGAGAATCCCAAGCAGGCTCATCACAGAGGCCGATGAGGGGCCTAGTCCCACAAACCGTTAGATCATGACCTGAGCCAAAATCAAGAGCTGGACGCTCCACCTGCTGAGCCACCCAGATGCCCCTATCTGTACGTTTATACGTATCCATACATATACGTTACAGATGTGTGGGATTTTTCTATCTCCCGATGCTATTGCCAAAACTAATTTGTAAAAGAACTCTACTTAATTGGCTTAAACAAGTAAGCGTTCATATAAATTTAATATTCAGTATTAAAGCCATTTTAAGTTTGTTGGTTTAATTAAAATGGTCATGTCTTTGGAGTTACCAACAGCACTGAATATAATACATGCAACTTTTACTCTACCTGGTTTTATTATCAAATAAGTCCTTGTTATTGCTTATAGAATTTGTCATCAAGAAACATAGTTGGGGAGGGCACCTGGGTGGCTCAGTTGGTTAAGCATCTAACTCTTGATTTCAGCTCTACTCATGATCTCAGGGTTGTGAGATCAAACCCCTCATCAGGCTCTGTGCTGAGCATGGAGCCTGCTTAAGGTTCTCTCTCCCTCCCTCTCTCTCTCTCCTCCCCCTCCCTCCCTCTCTCTCTGTCCCTCTTTTTCTCTCTCTCCCTCTTTTTCTCTCTCTCCCTCTCTCTCCACCTCTTTCTCTCTCTCTCCCTCTCTCCTTCTGTCTCTCCCTCTCTCCTTCTCTCTCTCCCTTTCTCCTTCTGTCTCTCCCTCTCTCCTTCTCTGTCTCCCTTTCTCCTTCTCTCTCTCC